TGCCGTTGAATTGAGTTTTACGTTTTAAGTACGAAGATCATGATATTTAATAAATAAAGGTTACACACAAAACTTTATAAAAAACACCCCTTAGGGCGTAATATCAAATCTGAAAGCTTTCAAATTTTATTATTCTTTATATTTTTTTAAATATAATTTCGACAATAATATATTTGTGGAAATCGGAAGGAAGCAATTAAATTTGATAAAGGCATAATAAAGTTTTTTAAATTCGATGGATGTTATGATAAATAAATCAATATTTAAAAAATATCTGTCTAAAATAACAGAAAAGTAATTTATTTTTCAGTTTTGAGAACTATATTCATCTAGAAAATGCGACAATATTCGAATACAGAGTCTCATATTTGTACAACAGACAAAGAGACAACAGATCTTTTGTGATTATTTTTTGTTTGTCTTAAATGTAATATCCTAAAAAATACCGTATACAGATCGCCGAAAATAGCTATCAATACAATAGCTATCAGCGAGTTGGCATAAACTTTTTCACTGGCTGCTCGTATGTACTTCGTAATAAAAGAGATGGAAATATTTTTTCTTCGCCCTTCCTCGTCCATGGTTTAAAATTGGCTAACTGTGTCAATATATATTACTCTAATCCTGTCATGTACCGCAAGAAAGTTTTCATGAAGATGATCTAAAATATGGCATCAAAAGTCCCAATGACATCAATTGTAAGACAATGAAAAATTTTAATTTCTTGTGATCCACTGCCATTTGTTAACATAACGGACTTATGATATCAAATGGGAGATGAAAAGGTGGTTTAATCAATCTTCGAGAATAGCTGCTGCTAGCCAAGTTCGTTCAGTTAATGTGCAAATCATACTACATACTACAACTTAACACAGTTAGGATTATATTTCAGTATACAATGATACAGCAAAGCATGTAATATGCATGTTACATATTACATATTAAATATAGAGAATATACAGTACTTTTATATGTATATTTATATATATGCTTTTTTATGTATTACCTAGAGTGATGTGTACTTAATTCTGTTTTTTACACGAATTTGGTTTAACACGAATTCAGAGTAAATATTTCGTTTTGTTTTTTCGGATCATTTTGGATTGACATGAGGGACCCAAATCAATTTATAAGAATTTTTATTCCGTCAAATTCTTTAATTTTTTTTTTTTTTTCTATAGTAGAATAGTACATGCAAGCAAAAATAGATTACATAGCAGTTAGACGAAAGTGAAGCGCCCCGCGGTGAGTGGTAAGTCAAGTGACTTAAATGTATTATTTTTTTCGTCTATTTCCGTTGTAGTGGGCATTTAGAATTTGGAAATGATACTGGCGTTTATATTTTTGGCGAAACTTGCTTTTTACAAATATCTGGCGCTCTTTAAACCAAAATACATTACTTTAAAACTGTACTGAGAAGAATCAATTAAGCTTGAAAAAGCATTAAGTTACATTTTCAGCAAATTCTACGAACTAAAGGTTTTTTGTTTGTCATAACTATATAAATATTTATAGTATAAATTTATATTAAAAATTAAGAAATTGTCAACTTTTTGGTTTACTTGATTATAGCCAAACTATCCATCTAAAGGAAGAGATACCTTCATGGAGGTCTTTCTTAGGGAAATGGGCTCCTATCTACGTTACAGATGAGGAAAATCACGAAAACGTCCATACAGTCAACTCTTTCGCCTAGAATCGATCCAGGTCGATTCTAGGCTCGGTCACTGGTTGGCTAAGATGCTGTCAAAAACAGCTTTTAATTAACAATATATTCATCCTTCAAAATACAGAAAATAAGTAAGTTCAGGAAAAAATATAAATATTAGGTTCATTTCCATATTCTAAATGCACACAATATGGAAACAGAAGAAAAAACTAATACATTTTATTCACGTGACTTACCACTCACCTTGGGGAGGCGCTTTACTCTAATCCTCTAACGCCTATGCAATCTATTTTTGCGTGCAAAATTAATGCTGCTTTCATTCCCTCACTCAGCTGCGTACCCTCATAGTTAAATGGCTGAAAATATGAAATGCTGAAAATATGGTTAGGAAAATCGTATTGGAATAATATTCATTTTATATTTGGAATCTATTAATAGTAGTAAACGTTTAAGAACAAAATAAAACTGTAGTAAATAGCATAGAGGTCTATTAAAAGGAAGCGGAATTAAATATTAAAAATTTGTAGTAAATAATGTTTTGGTTCAATTTATTATGGCAAAGCATTCGAGGGCTAGCAGCCTAAGAGGAGGACTGCCTTCATGGAGGACTTTCTATGTGAAGCTGACTCGTATACACATTACACATGAAGAAAAACAGAGTAAATAATGTGTAAAAGTATTAGCCAACAATTCTGTGGCTAATAAAAAACATATGCACACATATGTATATATACACATAATGGCATGCAAATACACACACACACACATATATACATGCACACTGAATTACGCATACGAGTGGGATTCTGAAAGGTCTACAGAAGACGTAAAATAGCGCCAAATAACATCTTAAAGTAAAAGAATTATGCAAGATGGCGAATTATTAGCTCAAATCCTATACATTTAAATCAAATGTTATAAACAAACAAAGCATTAGTGACAAAAGAAAAGTAATTAGCTAAATTTTAGGTGAAAACATGATAGAGACATAAATATTTTGTTTTGCTAAACCCAATTGAAAAGCTAGATAACGAAATCTGAATGTTGATAAACAAAAAAAATTTGCTGGTATTTGTGATCAAGCAATCATAAAATATTTAATTTTTAATATTACTATGAATTCAGATCGAAAGAATGGAAAATTTCCGAGCCAAATTTTCTCCCCCGGAAAGTAAATATCATATCAAGAACATAACTACCAATTTTGTTAAAAACCTTATTTAAAATTCATCGAAAATCTTTAAATTAACGCTTTCCGTTGATATAATTGTTGAAGAGAAAGTATTTAAATTCCGGGTGATATACACTTCATCATTATTCTTAAAATATTGGTTGTATTGCTCAGATTCATAATACTTAAGTCCTTTAAGAGCAGTAAATATGCAACTAAAAAATTCCCAATATTTTGAGAAATTTCTAATACGTTTGAATTTTTATTTTTACATTATTTATGTTTTTTAAACATGCATATTAAATTAACATATTCTACTAATCCTTTAGATAAGATTTCGCTCTCAAAGAAGCAATAAAACAGCATTAAAAATTAAGTAAGCTATGAATCAGTTCTAAGTGTTCTTTAAATTTACAGGTGCTTTGCGTTTATTTAAACTACCTTTCAGTCTGATTTAACAGTTTCTGCTTGCGATCATTATTATAGAATTTTTGAAAAAAATTACTAAAAGTCCGAGACAGTTATGTTCATTAAATAACGGAACTACTATATTTCTAGATAAAAACTGGAATCATTATACTCATAAACTAATCCCTCTAAGTTCCGAAATATAGAGGGAGGCTGTTTTAAGACATTTTATTAAAAATAAAACCTTTAATCGAAAATTCATCTATTGGCTAAACAAGCTCAAAAAAGGAATATAACAATGAAAAATATCCATTAAAAACGAGAAAAAAATTCTAATAAAATAAGAACGCGAAGATCGTACGTAATAAAAGTAGAGGACGCTCATAAACTTCCGTCAATTCTCTCCTTGTTTCCTGCCGTTGCATGATTAAAATGTCGTTCAACAACAGCGCGAAACTGTGATGTATAAGATGCATGGTCCCCCATCTTAAGCGGGAGTCCCCTCCCCCACACTCTTGTTGGTTAATATTCATCAAGCGCAGGGAACATAGCCCCGATGGGGAGGGGAGAGGATATGGAGCACGCAACCAACCATCGACCCTTTTAGTAGAGAGCAACTCTCGCGAACCTTCATAAGGCGAAGTCGCAAAAACGGGCACCGACGACTCACTGCGTTTCGGTGTCCAACGAAAAAAGTTTGTGGGAGTTTTGCTGTTGATTGTTAAGAATATTCAGCTCACTTTTGCAATTATTTATAAATTCAGGTAATAATTGAATGAATTTCGACTGTAATGGAGCGGTGCTATACGTATTTTACTTTAATATATACCATCTCACGATCTTTCCCGTGTTTCTGGATTCCTAGTGTGCTTGATGCTCAGTAGACGTCACGAACTTGGAAAAGTTTGTTGATTGTTTTCGTGCAGGAAACAGCGTGAGTATCTTTGCTATGGTGACTGCTTGGAATAAAAGATCCGTGGGTGTTGATAGACGTGAGTGACAATATTAGATTCGTCCACGAAAGGGGAAAAATCTGGTGTTTGTGCATTCAACAATCGCCACGATGAACTTCGTAGTAAAAAAACAACAGTCAGTTGCATGGACAGCATTGCGTGCAAAATTTTTAAAGTACCAATAAGAAAAAAAAGAAAAAGAAATTATGGCTTGTTCAGCTATATTCAGTTGCAGTACAGAGATTTGATATTCAGTTTCGTAAATTTTTAATCAAAATATAGATTTCGAAACGGAGATATTTAAACCAAATCTAAATTTTATGAGGAATTTTCAACTACTGTTCAATTTATATGTACTTATTTTGCTCTGAATAATTTAGCTATAAAGAATTGTTTGGCAATTTAATTACATACGTAACCCCAAAAGTTATATAAAAAACGGTAAACTGTTCTAAAAAGATTCTCTATTTTAGATCTCGAAAGCTCTAAGTTTCTATCTCTGATATATTTTCTAGTGAACCAACACTTCAAAAAAGGAAATATAAATCAAATAATTTGATAAACGTTCAAGCTAAATTCTAACAAATTATATAAGGTAAGTAGCAGGTAATTCTTAGCAGTGATAGATGCTAGAAAGTCGAAGCATATTTTCATTAATACAATTTTTTTAACATAGTAAGTAAAAGATTATCTAAAAAATTAAAAAACAAGCAGCAATTAATCATGTTTTAGTGTCTTTGGTGTAAAAGGATTTACAGTATACAAAATCCTGAGAAGAAAAAAAAATTCTTACCTTAAAAAGAACTATGCTGATTATCTTGTTTTTCCTCTTTTGTTCTTTGCCTTGAATCAAAAGTATTCTGAGTGTTTATCTAAAAGAGGATGTGCAGTCTCAAACATAGCGGTACTGTCTAAGGTAGAAGAAGAAAACACGGCTGCTGTCCAGTGAGCGCTGAGTTGTTGACTTGGAAATACCGTCCCTCCCCCCCGCCGTTGCCATGACGACCGGGTAGCGCGCAGGCCTCACGCGCGACGTCGGCCCCAGCGGTCAGTGCATGCGATTACAAGAAAAAGGAAGCAGCACTTTGCGAAGGACCGCAGCGCTCCGCGGCCGTCCGGCATCCACTTGAACATAGGACCGGCGAGCGAAAAAGTGGACGAGTTATTCTCCGAAGAGAAAGAGGAGAAAAAAATAAGATTAAAAAAGAAAAGAAAAAAGAAAGAACTTGTCACTTCATCTATCACGCGGCAACATCGCCATTGGCCCGATCGCCGATCACGTGACCAGACCCCGCTCTCTCTCTTCCCATATTTTTCTGTCAACTCCAGGTCGGGGATGATTTCTCATCCATTTATTTTCCGATTTATCTGTACCACGCGAGACAGCTAATTTACTGCCTCTGCTCGGATTCGGAAAGAAAAGAGAGTGGTTCGTAATTGTACTCATAAAGGGAAAAAAAGAAAAGTAAAAAAGAAAGCGGACAGCGTGAAAAATGATGATGAACGGCACTAACGCTGTGTACGGAGGCGGTGTATGTCCTCAGCAGCCCCCAATAGTGGACTATGGCGGGGATTCTCAAATTTTCTATGGCGACGTCGGCCAACAACACTATGGATACCCTCCGGCTTCCGATCCTCAGCCAGCCGAGCCACCTAATAGTCACTTACCGCACCAAATCATCAATGAAGCGAACGGCCTCAGTTACACAAACCTGGACGCCGGTCACCCGTACAGTTCACAGCGGCATCATCACCACCACCACCAGCCTTACTGCCCGCAGTCCTCCGGTGGACCTTTTTACCGGACTTTTGACTATGACGTGATGTCCAGCAATCCCGATCCAGGTGGTAGTGTGGTGCCCAGCTATCCTCCAGCATCTTATCATCACCTTGACCCTATGTCCCATCAAGTGAGCATTAGTCGCAGAAGCAACAACACGTACGGTGCCTACCCCTCGGAAAGTTATGACTCTCAACACCATGTTGGTGGTGGTGAGTGTCAACAGATCAATGGAGTATCAGGCTTTCAAAGGACGCAAACACCCCAACAGCACCCCGTGCCCACTTACAAATGGATGCAAGTCAAGAGAAGTCTACCGAAACCAGGTAAGATTTATTACTTTCGTTTGTTCGAAGAGACTTTAGGGAAACGGAACTGAATAGCGGGTCTATTAAGAACGGTCGTTTCATACATTATTACTTTCTCCTTTTCCTGTTTTACTTCTGAAAGTTATAGAAAATAAGTAAATTAAGGAAGCATTATAAGCGATAATGATAAAATACTTAAAAAGAAAGTTGCTACAATTATCGTTTATTTTCAAATGTGTGACATTTATGGTTATAATTTATTTCCAGGCAATTGAGCTTCTTCGAGACAAATGATAAAAACTTTAAAGTTCTGACAAATATTCAGTGAAGTCTCAGGTCAAATTTAGAAATTCAGTTTAGTATATTTTTAAATGTCTCACTATTAATTAAATTTATGAAATAAATTTTGTGAATACTTCATTTTACTTTATGCTTTGATTAATCAATCATATAATGAAGTGCATAATATGCCTTTAATTATGCAGACTGAATAGAATTTGTAAATTTATCGCACTGCGATACTACCATTAAATTTCATAGTCACAAATTTTGAAAAAATTGTATTTAAAGAAATTGCAGTTATGCATTATTAGTAAAATTTGAATAAGTAAATTTGAATAAGTAAAATTTGAATAAGTAAAATTTGAATAAGTAAATTAAGAATGTATTACTTTAATGTTATTTAATATTTAAAATTTTGAAAATATCTACAACAATAACAAATGAAGTTTGAATTCTCCAAATCCATACTTATTAATAATTTATGTTTAACTTCTACAGAATCTACACTTACAACCACCTCAGGAATACATTTTAATTAAGTATTTGTGTAATATTTCAACAAAAACATTATCGTTCACTTCCAAAGTATTATAATAAATTGCCACTTCTGTGTTGAGATGGCTTACCTTTTTCTGAAGCGCTTTCAGCGGACAATTTAGCGTTGCAATGATTCTAAAGTCAGGAAATTGTAACTTGTTCCTTTTACATAACGAAGAGATGCAATATACCAAGGCACACGCTTCGAAACTTCATGCCGGAGTATCTAAGAAACACATGCTTGTTCAGCATTTATCCCGCATGCGCGCCGCGCAAAGAGGGAATGAAGGAAAGCTATTGTTAATGGTTTCTTGGAGCGTGGTAAGATCATTAAAGAAGACAACATTAACCGATGCATAATAACTATTATAAAACCATTTGATAGCCGTTATTATACCTCCTCAAAATGAAAACAGGGAGCGTTTCAAAATAATGTGTGATAACTCGCATGGTTGAGACCTTCGAAGCTTTTACGATAAAAACAAAGTTACATTATCATAGAGGAGTGATAAATTATATTTTTATGAGAGATGTACAGTACTCAAAATTGAATATATGTATCTATAAAAGAAGTTAAAACATAATTTTTTAAAATTATCACATAATTTTCAGTTTGTCTACTGGTAGTGTCTTTACATTCAATAATGTTAAATGAACTTCAGTTCTTTTATGTTATGTTTCCTGAAAATTCTTTCAATTAAAAAACTATATTAATATCGATAAATGTCAGGGAAAGCCACGAGGACGTTAAAACACACCTATTCTTTTATAGTGTTGATATTTATATATTTCTAGAAAATAGTCAATTAGCATTTAAATACACGTATTCTTTAATTCGTAATGGCAATATTTACAAAAAAGACAAATCGGCATTAAAGTATGTTGTGTCTTTTTATTCTTATTGTCTATGACGAAGGCATTAAAGAACGCATATATGTGATAACATTTCTTTTGGATTTCGCTTTATGGTGCTCATAGAAACTTTTCTGTAGCACATTGATTCATAATGAAATATTATTATTATAATTTTAAGCAAAAATTTGGAGAAAATATTGATATTGAAATTCCCAGGAAAACACGAAAGAAATGTAATAAAATCGAGCAAATATTTTGTTTTCAAACTGTTTAATAAAAATTCTCTGGACATCAATGTAATGTTTGAATTTGCATGTCAAACTCATTACTTAAAAACTAGGAAACTTATTTTAATTTACTTTTCGTACATAAACGTACAATAAATTTCGATACAAGGGGAAAAATATTTTAGTGTTTTCTATAAGTCAAAATCTTAATAATAAAATATAAATTAAGAATTTTCTGTTATTAACTATATATTTCCCATTTATTTAACAGCTATTTAATTTCATATTATTTATATAATATGTAAATTTTATTTTTTGCATTATGTGTATGTAAATGTAAGTAGTCGTTTTTCATTAGCTTTTCAATTTAGTATTAATTTTTCTAGAAGCTACTAAAGCTGTTTATTTAGTTGCTAATGTCAGCACTTGATTCGTATAATAAATAAAAGTATCCCTCTTAATAAAAAATTTTTAAAACAATTCGTACTCATTAATGTTTTAAAAGTAATTTAGAATATTAACCAAGTGAATTTTGGAAAAAAAAAAAAAAAAATTCTTAGCAATATAAATAAAAATAAAAATTAATGTAATTATATGTCTTCGAAACTTTCAGATAATAGTACTGAAAACGTAAATTGCGATCCTACAATATTTCAAAGATAAATTAAGTTTCTTGCGAAACTTTGCTTAAAATTTATAATAGTTTCCTAACTATATACATTAGGTTTTATTGTTCTTGATATTTAATGTATGGGTTTACGAAATAATTAATATTTTCTAAATATTGTTGCTCACTGCAGGACAAGTTTTACGTGAAACTTCGTCATTATGTGATTATGAAGTAAATACTTTTCCATCTTTTAATTAGAGTATGGTTAAAAAATCAAAAGGAAACTGCAAACCAGTCTTCCATATTCCCAGCTTCTTAATCTTTAAAATGAGTTTATTCAATTTTCTTCAGCTCTGGAAACATTTTTTGTTTATGAATTTCTGTTATTTTGCATATTATTTCAAATTAATGGCTTATGATAAACGCAGATGCATGAATACCACACTCTTTAATAGTTCTCACTTTTAAACTTGTAAGTAAGAGACGTATCTTTACTGATTCGTATACTATCTTAAACAATAAAAGTAAGTAAAGTTGTAATCATGCTTTGGTGCTTGGGAAAGTTTTTTGCTCAGACTTACTGTTTATTTAAAACCATACTTACCTCCATTGTTCAAATGAATTCTCTGACGAGTATCATTTTATTTTCTTTAGCATAATTTTTCCTCATAGTCAACTAATTGACTATCTTTTAGACACTACGCGTTATATATGCTTAATACTGCTGAAAGATCCACTCATACTACAAAATAACAACTGACGTTTAAAGTATGTAGATTTGAAGTGCACGGACATATTTGTATCGCAGATATGTTTATTTATTCCTGTAATTGAAAAATGTTTACAGTAATTTGAAATAACTGGCAGCGAAAACATTCAGCTTATAAACATCAAAACATTGTAAAATATCCCATAAGGGCATAAAATGTAGATATTTATTTGTTTTACCGTTTATTACGATCAAATAAATGAGTTGTTAGGCTTCCAGAATGCATACCGAGCTATTGTTGTAAAAGGCTTCAAATATGGGAAGATGTTAATATACAAACATATGTACATTTTGCAAAGTGAGAAAAACATATGTACATTTTTCAAAGTGAGAAAAACATATGTACATTTTGCAAAGTGAGAAAAACATAAACAAACGGTGAGAATAAAGCATATCTTCATAAAAGGAATCTAGTGTACAATGTGCTAAAATAATTTACACACTGTGCTACTGCAATAATTTTTGTAATAATAGTGCACACCGTGCTCTAATAATTTACACACTGTACTACTGCAATAATTTTTGCAATAATAGTGTACACTGTGCTATAATAATTTACATGCTATGGTACTAGAATAAGTTTTGCAATAATAATGCATAGCACGCTACTGTAACAATTTTTCAGGCATCTTTTGTTAACTTGTACATTAAAACAATTTTCAGTACAAATCGAAAAACCGAAGCTAGTCATGTTGAGATACTTATTACTTTTACCAAAATAGCAATAACATTAACATTGAATGTTATTGCTATTTTGCAATTACCACACTTTTTATTGAATATTATTGCTATTATTTACTATTCACACATCAGAAATGTAAATTTTTTAGAGCATATCTTATCATCTTTCCTTAAAAACATTTCAGTTTTTCCTAATTAAGAATTTCAGTCATTTGTAAGACAAAATAAATTTAAGTCGTGAAAAATGTAAACAGCATATGGCATTATTTTAAGTAAAGTATTTGGATATATGTAGAGCTTTGCAATAAAATCCATAGACATAAATGTTTCGATTTTTTTTTTTTTTTTCTGAAAGAAAATATTATTTTAAGGGAAAGGGAGAAAATATACCAGAATTAAAAATTACAAATGTAGAGTTTGATGCTAAAATTAAAATCTGAAATATTTGCACAATAAGATATTCAAAAGAGAAAATGCAAAAACAAATTTGCATTGAGAAATAAATAGCCTTCAGAGTAAAGCTGTTATATGCATTTCTCTCAAGGACTTCAATCAAAAGAGTTTCTAAACGCTATTATATCCAAAAGAACAATTGGGCAGTTGAATCACTTCACATCTGTGAATTTTCTTATGTTAGATAATAGAAAAAATATAGGTCACACGAATTTTTTTTCGCATTTAATAATACTCTCTGTTTAATAGCTCTATTAAAGCAGGCCACACTTTTTTTACACGCCCCAGATTATTACATTATTATCTTTGGACTTAGTGATATTTTTATGGAAAATGTCCATGAAATCAAAGTTTAATTTTTAATAATAATAAGACCTTTCTCACTGTTTTATTTAAAAACAAAATCTGAAATTTTATCAATTATTTTAACGTGTGGGAAAGAATGAATCATAATTTCAACATATACATTAAAAAAATTAGTTTATAATGATGGTAATTATAGAAAATAATGACACTAAAATATTAGCAAGAGCTTGTAAATAAATAAAAACTAAGGCAATTTTAAACAATTCAGTTTTTACTTTAACAGAACCAATAAGTCTACGAAATTTTTACAGTATATGGCATATTTATTTCATAAAAAATATATTTAGTTTA